TTTTTCAAGGGATAAAAAGTAATTGGACAATTGAATATAATCGTAAATAAAATGTTCATTTTTAATATTTTATTGAGAATCCTTTACTGGCAGTGACTGCCTGAAGTCTGGAACCCATGGACATGACCAAAGACGAGGTTTCCTCCTTTCTGATGCTTTGCCTGAAGTCTGGAACCCATGGACATTACCAAAGGCTAGCTTTTCTCCTTTCTGATGCTTTGCCTGAAGTCTGGAACCCATGGACATGACCAAAGCCTGGGTTTCCTCCTTTCTGATGCTTTGCCTGAAGTCTGGAACCCATGGACATGATCAAAGACTGGGTTTCCTCCTTTCTGATGCTTTGCCTGAAGTCTGGAACCCATGGACATGACAAAAGACTGGGTTTCCTCCTCCCTGATGCTTTGCAAGGCTCTAACTGCAGCTGTCTTCAGTTGTTCTTTGTTTGTGGGTCTTTCGACCTTTAGTTTTGCCTTCAGCAAGTTAAATGCATGCTCAATTGGGAAGAGAACAACTTCCGCTTCTGATTGCCTAGTCGCTTGCAACGGAAGTGGGAACGTGTACCTGTCAAAATCAGGTACCCACCCCTACTTGCTCCCCAAAGGTGCCAGTTCCTCATGGGGAGCGGGGGGACCAGTGTTTAGATCGGAACGTCCCCTTTTAGGTGGAGCTCTTCTTTAATTAGCCATTCTGAACATCAATGCGCAATGTGGTCTGGACGGAGCCTTGGTGGATGTAACAAGATGCTGTTTGGTGGTTTTGTATTTAATAAGATATGTTTTATTGTTTTGTATTATCCAGGATACAGATCTGATGACTGTTAAAGTGGAAGCGAAGGAAGAGGCAGAGGAAGTGTATGCGAGAGGCAATGACCTGTGTAAGGAGGAGGAGATCCCTCCAGAGATCAACCCAGGTGAGGAATAAACACTAAATCCAGAGAAGAGTCCCAGATCCTCCTTGTTCAGTCACTACAACCATCTCTTCTTCTCCACCCTCCTCTGTCAGTAGACAGTAATGGGGGGACAGTATGTGCCCAGTGGGGGGGTCAGGAGCCATCAGCCTCTATTCGACTCCAGCTATGAGCCATGTAAGGAGGAGGAGATCCCTCCAGAGATCAGCCCAGCTGAGGAATAAACACTAAATCCAGAGAAGAGTCCCAGATGCTCCTTGTTCAGTCACTACAATCTCTTCTTCTCCCTCCTCCTCTGTCAGTAGACAGTAATGGGGGGACAGTATGTGCCTGTTGGGGGGGGGGGTCAGGAGCAATCAGCCTCTATTAGACCCTGGCTCTCCTCACATCATGTCATTGAGACGTGACCAGTCTCCCCCCACACACACTCTCTGGGGTCTCTCATACATCTCAGTACAGGGGGCTTCACTCTCATCTTTATTCACAGACCCCGGAGACACCAGAGACACTCAGAGAGACATCAAAGCTGAGAAGGAGGAAGAAGGACGTGCAAGGATTAAAGAGGAGGACGTTCGCTCAGAGATTAGCACAGGTGAGCACCTGACCTCAAAAACTCACTTTTAGTTGAATTGGCTAAAATCCCCACACTCCAAAATCTTCCTGTGACGGGGAAGCTCCATATTAACCGCTTCCCAACCGCCCTATAGCAAAACTACTGCTACAGGGCGGTAGGGCTGCGAAAAATCACGTATATACACGTGATTTTGTATTTCTGAGCAGGGGCGTACACTCGCCCTACCCACACCACCACTGGCAGGTTCAGCTGTCGATCACCGGGTCCCGGCTGGAGATTCCCCGCCAGCACCCAGGGATCGCCGAGGAACAGTGACAGAGAAATGCAGATCTCTCCCCTGTCAGCTCCTGCATGCTGCTTTGTATCTCTTTGCATAGTAGAGCCATACAAAGCAGCAGGCACCATATAGGAGATATTTTACTCGCGCTGCCATTGGTTGCAGCTTATGTCAATCACCGGTACCAGGCCAGCAATTCTCGGCCACCACTTGGTGATCGCCGCTAAAGCTGTAAGGGGATAGGTCGGTATGTAAACAACACAGACCTCTCTCCTGCCAGCAAGGACATGCTGCTTTGTATTTCTCTGTACAGCATGTCTCCCTAGTAAAACACTCCCAGCACACAGTTAACCCTTTGATCTCCCCAGATGTTAACCCCTTCCTGCCCAGTGCCATTAGTACAGTGTCAGTGCTTTTTATTAGCTCTGATCACTGTATTGGTGTCACTGGGGATGTCAGCGGCAGTTAGTTCCCCCACAGTGTCAGAATACCCACCGCAGTCCTGCTATAAGTCGCTGATCGCTTCCATCACTAGTATATATTAACCACTTCAAGACTGGACACTTTCACCCCCTTCCTGCCCAGGCCAATTTTCAGCTTTCAACGCTATCACACTTTGAATGACAATTGCGTGGTCATACAACATTGTACCCATATGAATTTTTTAGCATTTTTTTTAGACAGATAAAAGTTTGCTTTGGTGGTATTTATTCACAGCTGGGATTTTTATTTTTTTGCTGTATAAATGAAAAAGTCCAAACATTTTGAAAAAAAGTGTTTTTCTTATAAAAATGTGCAAATAAATAATCTTTCTTCATAAATCTTGGCCAAAATGTATTCAGTTATCTTTTTAGTAAAAAAAAAAAAAAAAAACCAAATTAGTTTATAACCAAAAATTATAATTTTTCAAAATGTTTTTTACACTTTTATTTTTTTATTATTATTTGTTTTTTTTTTACATACTGTCACCCTAGCAGTACAGTGTCACCATAGTGACACTGTACTACTTGTGGGGGGTGATGAAGATTTTTTTTACACTGATTGCTTTTATACCCATAAAGGCTGTAAAAGCAATAATTTCTCCTTCTCTCTGGCTGCATTCTTGCAGCCATTGAGAAATACTGTGAGAGCTGTGATTGGTCACAGCTTGTCACGTGGTACAAGGCTGTTGTGAATAGCCCTGTACCATGTGACCTCTGTTATCATTCACAGATTTCACAAGTACTACAGTTGCAAGAAAAAGTATGTGAACCCCTTGGGATTACGTGGAGTTTTGCATGAATTGGGCATAAAATGTGCTCTGAACGTCATCTAAGTCACAACAATAGAAGAACACAGTCCATTTGTAGACAGTCTGTCTTACCGTGGACACATGAACATCAAGGCTTTTGGAGATACTTTTGTAACCTTTTCCAGCTTCATGCAAGTCAACAATTCTTGATCGTAGGTCTTCTGAAAGCTCTTTTCTGTGAGGCATGGTTCACATCAGACAGTGCTTCTTGAAACCAGTAAACCCAAAACAGGTGTGTGTTTTTTAAGGGCAGGACAGCTGTCAGCAACACATCCAATATCATCACACTGATTGGAGTCAAGGTTGGCACACTCCTGGCTCCAATTAGTTCTGGGAGAAGTCATTAAGCTAGGGCCTCACATACTTTTTCCTCCCTGCACTGTGAATGTTTACATGTTATGTGCAATTAAACCATGGCAACATCTAATGTTTGTGTAGTATTATGTTCAGCAGACTGTGTTCTTCTATTGTTGTGACTTAGATGACGTTCAGAGCACATTTTATGCCCAATTCATGCAAAACTCCACGTAATCCCAAGGGGTTCACACACTTTTTCTTGCAACTGTAAGTAATGATTTCAGGAAGTAACATCTTGCTTACTACTATTGGCCAATCAGTGATCACATGATCGGGACCTCACACAATGGTCCCGTACAGCAGTCTGGACACAGTGGGCACTGAATCGCGGTGCTGCGTGCTCCCAGGGACCTCTGTGATCATTCACAGGTTTCACACGTAGTAAGCAATGATATCAGAAGTGACATCTTGCTTACTACTATTCATGTGATCACTGATTGGCCAGTGATTGCATGATCGGGACCTCACACAGAGGTCCTGTACAAGGATTGGTGTTTCACTGTGTTCGGAGGACACAGTGGGCACCGGATCGCGGTGCAGCGCGCTTCCAGGGAGCGCGCACAAGCAGGGAGGCCATTTGTAAACGGCCACCCGCCCCTGCACTGCTCCCATCCGGCCGTTTATATACACGGGCCAGACGGGAAGTGGTTAAAAAAAATTCCAGTATCTATACCGCCATTTGTAGACGCTATAACTTTCATGTAAACCAATTAATTTACACGTATTGGGATTTTTATTTTACAAAGACATGGAGCAGAGTACATTTTGGCCTAAATTTATGCCGAAAGTTGATTTTTTTAAATTTTTTTATTGGACATGTTTAATAGCAAAAAGTCCAAAATATAGGGTTTTATTTTTTTTCAAAATTGGCGACCTTTTTTGTTTATAGTCCAAAAAATAAAAAACCGTACAGGCAATCAAATATTACCGAAAGAAAGCTCTATTTGTAGGAAAAAAGGGTGTATATTTCGTTTGGCTGCAGCTTTGCACAACCGTGCAATTGTCAGTGAAAGTAACACAGCTCCATATCGCAAACAATATCCTGGTCAGGAAGGGGGGAATCCTCTGGAGGGCGAGGGGTTAATACCCAGAAATTTAGAATAGAACCTTCAACAAGCTGACATACTGTGTGATGTTTGGGTGACCACAACATTTTGACCATTTATTGTGTTTAAACCAAGGGATAATTTTTTATTAATTTTTGAGAAGTCACCTGAAACTAATTAATCGTCCCTGTGGTTTGTTTTCTTTAGATGGACAACCTATGAGGCGAAAATCTCTAGCTGTTGGAGTCGAAGAACATGACATCACTTTCGATTCTTCTGAAGATGAACCCATCACCTTACACCTTTATCCAGAAATCCCCACTGCGGACCTTTGGAACGATCCCCTTACCCACAGAGGTTGCTTTCTTGATCCTGTCCACCCTGCCATCACCCAACATCTACCAAGTAATCGTCCCAGGAAATTCCCATGTTCCGAATGTGGGAAATGTTTCGCAGAGCGAGGGAAACTCATTGTACACCAAAGATCGCACACGGGAGAAAAGCCGTTTTCATGCTTGGAATGTGGAAAGTCTTTCGCCGAGAAAGGAATGCTCGTCAGGCATCGAAGGATTCACACAGGGGAGAAGCCATATTCATGTTCTGAGTGCGGGAAGTGTTTTGCGGAGAAGGGCCCTTTAATCCGGCATCAGAAATATCACACGGGGGAAAAGCCGCATTCTTGCTCAGAATGCGGGAAGCGCTTTGCATTGAAATCGACCTTGGTTTATCACCAGCGCACTCACACAGGAGAAAAGCCTTTTTCCTGTGCTTTGTGCGGAAGGGGCTTTGTCCGCAAGCACGATGTCATCAGCCACCAGAGGACTCACACAGGGCTAAAGCCGTACTCTTGTTCGGAGTGCGGGAAAAGTTTTGCATTAAAATCGACTCTCCTTTATCATGAGCGAACGCATTCAGGAGAGAAGCCATTTTCGTGCTCCATATGTGGGAGATGCTTTATACGAAGGCAGGAAGTCATCATCCATGAAAGAACTCACGAAGGGCAGAAGCCATTTTTCTGCGCGGATTGCGGGAGGTGCTTCACGACCAAGAAATACCTCGTTAAACATCAGCGTGCCCACACAGATCAAAAACCGTATTTTTGCCACGAGTGCGGCAAGCAGTTTGCAGAGGCGTCAAAGTTCCTGAAGCATGAGAAAGCTCACAGGATAAAAAGGGCGTTCATGTGTTCCCACTGCGGAAGAAGCTTTCCAGATAAAACCTACTTAGATCAACATGAAATCATGCACGCAGACGAGAAGCCACATTCGTGTTCGGAATGCGGCAAATCCTTTTCCTACAGGGCCTTTCTCGTCCGGCATCAGAGGAGGCACTCGGGAGAGAAGCCGTATTCATGTCTTGAGTGTGGGAAACGTGTCACTACAAAGTCTTCTCTCATCAAACATCAGCGCACGCACACGGACCAGAAGCCTTACTCTTGTGCTGAGTGCGGGAAGTGTTTTTCTCAGGCGTCAAAGGTCATTAGCCACGAGAAAACTCATAGGGGAGGCGAGCACGGTAGGAGCTCTCCCGATATAGTCATTCTAGACGAGCCGGAACTAACAGACACAGCTGAAAAGCCGCACACGTGTTCGGAGTGTGGGAAATCCTTCACTTATAAGGCCTTTCTCATCCGGCATCAGAGAACGCACACGGGGGGAAAAGCCCTATTCATGCTCTGTGTGCGGGAAATGTTTCGCCCAAAAATCAAATCTCGCCGTGCATGCAAGGACTCACACAGGGGTGAAGCCATTCTTATGTCTGCAGTGCGGGGAGTGTTTCGTGAGGAAGTCAAGACTTATCGCACATCAGCATTTGCATACTGGTTGCAACTAGTTACATAGTTAGTCTGGCTGAAAAAAGACAAAAGTCAATCCAGTTCAACCACAAAAAAAAAAAAAAAAAACATAGTCTGGCTGAAAAAAAAAACAAAAGTCCATGCAGTTCCACCACAAAAAAATAAATTACATAGTTTGGCTGAAAAAAAAAAAGTCCATCCATTTCAACCGCAAACTAAAAAAAATTACATAGTTTGACTGAAAAAAAAAGACAAAAGTCCATCCAGTTCAAGCACCAAAAAAAAAAAAGTTACATAGTTTGGCTGAAAAAAGACAAGAGTCCATCCAGTTCAGACACAAAAACAAGTACATAGTTTGGCTGCAAAAAAGACAAGAGTCCATCCAGTTCAACCACCAAAAAAAAAAGTTACATAGTCTGGCTGAAAAAAGACAAAAGTCCATCCAGTTCAACCACCAAAAAAAAATACATAGTTTGGCCGAAAAAATACAAAAGTCCATCCAGTTCAACCACCAAAAAAAAAAGTCCATCCAGTTCAACCACAAAAAAAGGTACATAGTTTGGCTGAAAAAAAGACAAAAGCCCATCCAGTTCAACCACCAAAAAAAAAAAAAAGTTACATAGTCTGGCTGAAAGAAGACAAAAGTCCATCCAGTTCAACCACGAAAAAAAATGACATAGTTTGGCTGAAAGAAGACAAAAGTCCATCCAGTTCAACCACAAAAAAAAATACATAGTTTGGCCGAAAAAATACAAAAGTCAATCCAGTTCACCACCAAAAAAAAAATGACATAGTTTGGCTGAAAGAAGACAAAAGTCCATCCAATTCAACCACCAAAAAAATTACATAGTTTGGCTGAAAAAAGACAAAAATCCATCCAGTTCAACCACCAAAAAAAAAAAATTACATAGTCTGGCTGAAAAAAGACAAAAGTCCATCCAGTTCAACCACCAAAAAAAACTTACATAGTCTGGCTGAAAAAAGACAAAAGTCCATCCAGTTCAACCACCAAAAAAAAATTACATAGTTTGGCTGAAAAAAGACAAAAGTCCATCCAGTTCAACCACCAAAAAAAACTTACATAGTCTGGCTGAAAAAAGACAAGGTCCATTCAGTTCAACCACAAAAAAAAAAAAAAAAAAAAAAAAAAGTTATAATCCTACACCCACAGTTGATCCAGAGGAAGGCAAAAAAACCCAGCAAAGCATGATCCAATTTGCTCCTACAGGGGAACACCACACATTGAAAAGGCTGCCGGCCTTCCAGCCACCAATGCACGAGACTCAGCGTTTCAAATTGAAGAAAAGATTGTGGACACGCAAGATGAAGGGCATGCTGGGCAAGGACAGATGGAGTCCTCTTCTGAAGAGGGGAAGCTTTACCGCTCAGGACAAGAACATCACCTGGAAGGGAGGCTGACACCGCCTGAGCTACATCTCTTTTCACCCATCCCTTGACAATGCATATCACGTGTGTACAGAAATCTTCCATGCGGACGTTCCGATTGAGTCTGCCTGTCCTATTTTAAGGTGGACCTAATCGGAACCTCCATTCTCCTCTACGGAGCAGTAGGTGTAAACAGACATGAATTAATTTACACCCGCCCAGATCAAATCCACCAAACCCAAACCAATAGAGATCTGTTCCCCTTCCCAGGTGTAAATAAACAGGCAGTCCGTTTACATCCAACCACCCGTAGAGCTGGCTGTGTCCACGTCCGCTCCTCATAGGTGGACTAGACACAGTCCTGTCATCTGCCTACTCAGTGGGGATCAGCAGACAGATCCCACCCTAATCAGCCGGAGTCTACCCCGTGTGAATGGGGTCTAAGTGTTGCTTTTACAATGCTAATGCAGGCTAATAAAGATTGTTTTTTTTATATGGGTTAACAAGGGTAGGAATAATTGGTATATGTACACTGCTCAAAAATATGAAAAGGAACACTTTTTAATCAGTGAAACTCCTGGGATATCGATCTGGTCAGGTAAGTAGCAGAAGGGGTTGTTAATCAGTTTCAGCTGCTTTGGCGTTATTGAAATTAATAGATGCACTAGATGGGCAACAATGAGACAACCCCCAAAACAGGAATAAACAGTGATAATGTCACTGCTACTTTTATAAAGTAATATCTGGATTTGAAAAAGGCAAAACTATTTATATCCTTCATGGCTATTGAGGAATATACACGGCTCAAAAAAAAAATGAAAGGAAGACTTTGTAATCAGAGTATAGCATCAAGTCAACAGTGAGATGACCCCCAAAACAGGAATGGTTTTACAGGTAGAGGCCACTGACATTTTTTTCCCTACTCATCTTTTCTGACTAGTTTTGCATTTGGCTAGAGTCAGTGTCACTACTGGTAGCCTGAGGCCATACCTAGACCCTACAGATGTTGCACAGGCAGTCCAACTCCTTCAGGATGGCGCATCAATACATGCCATTGCCAGAAGGTTTGCTGTGTCTCCCAGCACAGTCTCAAGAGCATGGAGGAGATTCCAGGAGACAGGTGGTTACTCTAGGAGAGTTGGACAGGACCGTAGAAGGTCCTTAACCCATCAGTAGGACCAGTATTTGCTCCTTTGTGCAAGGAGGAACAGGATGAGCGCTGCCAGAGCTCTACAAAATGACCTCCAGCAGGCCAAAGACTGGGTCAGAGCCAATCCCACCATTCTCAACCAGGGTGCCTTCAGGCTTTTTCATGGATGCCTTGGCAATATGCTTTAAAACTGCCCAAAAATTGTATACAAGCCAGCAGATGGATTATTTACAGAAAGCCATAGGCTTTCATTACGCACTTTTACAACCTGCCAGCTGCCGGCATCCTAACAACCAATTACATCATTTAATGATAAGGAGGAGGTTGGGCGCCTGCACAGCATCGTTGTTTGCCCCTCTTTATCAGCAGTGGGGTCACATTAGCTGAGTGAGGGAGAGAAGCTACGGGCGAAACACTGGAATACTAGTCAGTACCTGTTTGCAAAGGAATATTTGCTTTGGAAGAATAAATCACCTCGAACGTTGGGTGTCCTGCACACGTGGATGTTGCTACGTTATGCAGAACTATTAGGAATAGTTTTTTACATTTTAGAATGGGGTGCCTTGAGATTGTCCATAATTTTAGAGGGTGCTTTGGTTGAAAAAAGGTTGAAAAACACTACTCTGACCAAACAATCAGAAAACAGACTACATGAGGGTGGCCTGAGAGCCTGACGTCCTCTAGTGGGCCCTGTTCTCACTGCCCGGCACCATAGAGCTTGATTGGCATTTGTCATTGAACACCAGAATTGGCAGGTCCACCACTGGCGCCCTGTGCTTTTCACAGATGAGAGCAGGTTCACCCTGAGCACATGTGACAGACGTGAAAGGGTCTGGAGAAGCCGTGGAGAACGTTCTGCTGCCTGTAACATGGTTCAGCATGACCGTTTTGGTGGTGGGCCAGTGATGGTCTGGGGAGGCATATCCATGGTGGGACACACAGACCTCTACAGCCTAGACAATGGCACCCTGACATTAGGTATCGGGATGAAATCCTTGGACCCATTGTCAGACCCTACGCTGGTGCAGTGGGTCTGGGTTCCTCCTGGTGCATGACAATGCCCGGCCTCATGTGGTGAGAGTATGGAGGCAGTTCCTGGTGGATGAAGGAATTGACACCATTGAATGGCCCCCACGCTCGCCTGACCTAAATCCCCTAAAACACCTCTGGGATATCATGTTTCAGTCCATCTGACACCGCCAGGCTGCACCTCAAAACCTGTTTGTTTTTTTCTCCATTCAGACTGTCCAGGAGCTCAGTGATGTCCTGGACCAGATCTGGGAGGAAATCCCCCAGGACACCATCCGTCGTCTCATTAGGAGCCTCCCCCGACGTTGTCAGGCATGCATACAAGCACGTGGGGGCCATACAAACTACTGAGGACCATTCTGAGTTGCTGCAATGAAATTTCAGCAAAATGAACTAGCTTGCTGCATAATTTTTTCACTTTGATTTTTGGGGTGTCTTTGAATTCAGTCCTCTGTAGGTCGATCATTTTCATTTCCATCAAACGATGGAGACATCCTTACGTCCTTACACATTACCCCGTCCATATCAGTATAGAGATCCAGCAGAGTTGTCCCCATTGAGATCTGATGTGTGTTCAAAGTGTTCCTTTCATTTTTTTTTGAGCAGTGTATATTGTACCGCAATACTTTCAAATCCAGGTAAACCGCTCAATACAAGGTTGAAATACACATACTGTGTAAATGGTTTTATCAGCCAAAGTATTTGTAGTTCAGTAGAGCCACTTTCGTGAATCATACATCTCAGCCAGACAGCACAGTCAGGAGGATGACACCATTTTCTCTGGCAAAGTTAAGGTGTCACACTCTGAGCGCTTGTGATGAAAAGAGGCTTGTGATGACAGGGCAGGACATGCTGTATGTATGTTGTTTACACAACGACTATAATGGGATTTTTGGTTTATTTGGTAAAATACTTTTCTACATCACAGGGTACAGTGGGTATAGAAAAGAATCATCCCCGTCAAAATAGCCTGAAATGAAGACAGACACAATTTTTGTTTTATCCAGCTGTATTTATTCAGTGCAACTTATTACATACAAGTGAAAGATATAACACCAACATGGCAGAAAAAAAAAGAAACACAGAGTTGGAAAAAGGATCTCCCCCTTGCATCAGCATTTTGTTGAACCGCCTTTTGCTTTAATTCTAGCCTTAAGTCTGTTGGGAGATGTCTCTACTACCTTTGCAGCTCTAGACTTTGCAATATCTGCCCGCTCTTCTTTGCAGAATTGGTCAAGTTCAGTTCAATTTGATGGTGAGCGTTTATAGACGGCAGGCTTCCAAGTCATTCCACAGATTTTTAATGGGCTCTGACTAGGCCATGCACGGACATTCACCTTTTCCTCCTCCAACTACTGGGGGTGCATTGTTGCTCTGTGCTTTGGCTCATTGTCATGTTGGAAGGTAAACCTTCTTCCCATTGACAACATTCTGGCAGAAGGCAGCAGATTGTCCTCAAGAATGTGCCGGGATTGTGCCCT